TTACAATTTTACAGTTGAATTTGCACTCAAAAAGGCAAAAACTCTGAATAAACTTGATCAATTGTAAAGATTTACAAAATTCATAAACTTCTTCGTATTCAATTTTCGTCTAGTTTCTATAAAAATTTACGTTTATGTAAAATAATTGAATATTTAATAAAATGATAAGATAAATTTTTTAGTGCTTACCTTTCAACGAGCAACATGAATGGGCATATCTAGGTTTTCAAGTCAGCTAGGGAGAGGGGGGGGGGCATATGGGTTCGCTTAGTTCTTCTTAGCCCCTCCCCCCCTCTGTCACAAAAATTTTTTAGAAAAAAATTCCATTGTTTGAACTATCACAAAATCCTAGACCCCTCTCCCCCCCCTTAAATGTCGGACGTCATAAGTGAACGGCCCCTTAGTTCTTAGATAATTTTTAAAAAATCGCTATCAGATCATGCATGATTTCACAATTATGTAAACATCATCTAATTGCTAAGCCTGTGCATAGGCACTATCCGAAAAACCTCTGCCACAAAACTCTCAGGCAGTAAATATTCAAAAGTAATCGGCAAATCTCACAACTCAAATGTCACGTCAAATAGGTCACAAAGGTGCACCCTATACTTAAACTCCTGCATCCCCAAAAATTCTAATTTCAAAGCAGTAAAGCAGCTATTCAATATTGTTGCACATCAAATATTGACCGCACAGAAATACAAAACTCAATATTTCAATCACTCTACACATGAATTGAATGAATGCTTGAAATTTATTTAACTTACATACTGCAGATAAGGAAGCAAACATGTTCCAAATTAATGGCAGTCGATTCGAAATGAAGACAGAAAGATGAATGTAATGCATGCAAATATGCAATTTCAAAAATTTAATTTTCTTAGTTTGATGAATTTTTCTGACTTACTTACTCCTATTCGTCTTTCCTGTGTATTGGAGTATTGAATTTTTATTCAACATGAACGGAAACAATTTTTTGGAAAGTAAAAAAAAAGATATTTAAATTCATGAATTCAATATTAATGCATCATTGTGCTGCATAGTTCATCGTTCATGATGTTCATTCATTACGTATTATTATACTGTAAAAGCCATCATGGCAATTGTAAAAACATTTTTACAGGTAATTCAATTTTCCAGTATTTGCGATATATATTTTGTCATGCCATAAATATGATAACTGCATGATATTATATGTGGATTGAAAAAAATACATGATAAATCCGAGCAGTGAAGATTGTTTGAAGGCCGTTGAGTAAATTTATCGTTTTTTTTCGAATTTTAATTTTAATATTAATTGATTTGAGGGAAACTTACGCCAGACATTTTTTTGGGGACAGACGAGTGGGGGCGATTGTTGTGGGTTGGAATTAAAATTTTCTAAATAACCATGGCAAAGCAATATTAATTCATAATGAGAAAGGATACTCCCCACCCCCTCTTATCCTATCGATACACCTGAAAGACTTAAATTGATATAATTTAAAGTTATAATCTGGTTATAAACAGACAAAGTTTAAAGTTGATTGGACATATCCCGCGCGCGTACTTTCAAAACACATGGACGCTAGATTCGAGATCTTAAGACACAAAAATGAGATTTCAAAGATGAAGCATTTAAATCAGTATAAATCCGATCGGCAAACATTTAAATTCAATTTGCAATGAAAGCCACGTGGCAACTACTCTACGCCCAGTTTGAAATGGCTTCCAAGCGGCAGTTGATTGGTTTTAATTCCACTATCAACCCGGCCGCAGGGTGTCAAACATTTCAATATGTACCGATCGGGACAATGGAGCATCCAAGAGTGATTATTGAATGATAATTTACCCAACCTCAAGCAAAAACTTCTTATGTCACCTCCCATCAAACTACCACAAAACTCTTCCATACAGCCCGGCATCATTCACCGCCTGTACTCAATAAAACAAAATACATTCATGTACCCTATGAATAACATAATCAACAAAGAGATAATTTATGTTGTTTCATGAAGGTAATTATGTGAAAGAGCAAATACACCTACTCGCAAATTCTCGCAAGCTTCATAATCAGAATTGCTAAAATTAGTGTAAACAATTGTGCATGGGAATTGTTGAAAATTGTGTTTACATGGTTGAATAAATGGATGGCTTAACATCACATCCTCACCCAATAATAATAATAAAAAAAAGTTCTACATGAGAAAAATTATTATATCCTATTAGCCTCACCTACCATTCACGTTCAATGAGCTGTAATGACCACAAATTTCATTATTTTATGTATTATGGTTCAATTAATGAGTTTGCGATTTTTTTTCATTCTCGCTTTGACCTTTAATAAAGCGGAATCATTTTTGTGTTGTGTTAAAAGGCGAAATTGGTGGAAGGAAATGAAATGAAAGGAAAAAACAAACACAACACTTCTACATCCGTCTGCCTTCATCATGGCTTCAATACCTTTTAATTATTATCATCTCCTTTTCAATAAATCGAAGCCCTATTGATTTAAATTAACGATTAAATTTCACCGCACGCAAAGCCTCATTAAATTAATGTTCCGACACTTTTTTTCTCCCGTTTTTTTTTATGTATGTGCATACGGTTGTACATTATGTAATGGTGTAGCTACTTTTATTGGATGGAGGTAAGAAATATTTTGTTCATTTTGTTCACATTTTCAAGATGAATGCTTCCAAAAGCTAAGAAGATTGGAAAAAAACTGAGAAATTTTTTAAAACTCATCCTCAAATATTAGCATGCATTAGCTTTAAATAAAAATTCATGAATATTGCTTTACATTACCGCGAAAGCTCCAATTTTATAGAATTTGTATTTCTTCGATTTTATTAATAGAATTTTTCAAAAAAAAATTACAAAAGTAAATCAAAAATTTATTGAAATTATTCGGTTGTAGGTTTGCTTCCTTAATTTTATTTAAAGCTTGTTGATTATTGATAAGTAAAGAAGATCGAGAGCTAATTGAAACAGAAAGTTTTTGAAGCAGAATTGAAAATTGAAAATTAATAAGCCTTCAATATTCTATTGTTCAACAATGATTTACGACTCAATAGATTTCAGCTGCTAACATTCAAAAATCACAGATTGCCAAAACCCCAAAACTATTGTCAATTTTCCACCTGTCAAGCATGCAAACCTCATGTTTAAATAGGGATTAAATGCGCTTTCATTAAACATGTATCAGACGTTACCATAATTTATCCTTTAATCCCCAACTTTTTTTTTAATTTTATTTTATCATGGCAGTGATGGAGTGTGCGGACAGGCGAGCGAACAAATACAGAAAAGGAACAAGCGAGTACGCGAATGAGAGAAGAAGAAAAATGCATAAATTAATTTTAATTGGAAAAAGCAATTGATTTAAATGCATAAAGCTCATTAAATTCAAGCATCAATATGCTCTATTCATTAATTTACTCATTTACTTCATATTCCTGAAGAGCTCAGTGAAGCTATGAATAAAAAATTTTTCATTTGAATTTAACAAAAAAAAAGAGAAAACTTCAACAATTTAAATTCGAATGAATTAAAAAAGGAACAACAGAATAATGAGCATGAGGACATGGGAACAACATAATTTTTACCTTCCCTACCTCCTGCTTTTTTTATTGTTTTCATTTTAATGAGATTATATCACCATAACCTTTTAATGAGTACCTGTAGAGCAATTTATGTTGTGAATAAAGTGAAATTTTCAAGTTTCTTATTTTAAAACTGTTTGTTCTCAAATATCCTGCAGCGTACACATTAATTAATTAAACATTCACAGAGATTAGTTTTTTGAGCTCTGGAGAACATTATTAACTGTGATTTTAGTGTGAGATGCTTGAATGTTGTGGGAAGTTTATGCTGAAAAGTAACTTTTGTCTGTTCTTTTTAACTTGAAGGGGGGTTTATAATTAGCTGACCCTCAACAGCTTCAAAAAAATAAAAGCGAAACCTAAGAAAGCAGGGCCCGGTTTCTAGTTTCATCCTAGGCACCCAAGGACAAAAATTAATTTTGATGTACTGCAATATGGGGTGTAAATAAAATTAATCTGAGACTAGGGTATGTGTTCCAGATAGCCCCAGAAACAAGATTCAGAACCGTGGATTAGAAACTCAACTCACTCATGTCATAATTCAGAACTTAATAATCAGACTTAACTTAAAGAGATTCGAAGTCAAGGATGCGAAACTAATCGAAATGATCAGAAATAATCGAAAATTAATAAAATCTGATTTATCCAAGATTTATCAGACTTCTAGCTACAAATTCTGTATGAAATTTTCTTCAGCGAAGCTCAGCTGACTCATCAAGCTTTATAATTTCAAACTGATGCTGAGCAAAGCTTCGTCTATCCACAAGAATTTCGACGGTACGGTGTGAATATATCCACATTGGATTTCTCCCCGATGCACTAGTTTTATTCTATCAACAGTGCCTGTTGACTCTGAACTCTGATTTAATAATAATGAGTGAAGGGCCCAGCCTTTCAGCTGGAGGCACTGCAATTTAATTTGTAAAAAATCTGTGATTTAAAGCACCACAAAATTCAATGCTCGAATAAAGTTTTCATTGCTTCGCTTCTCGACCTTCAATTCTTAAATAATCTACTTATTTCCAAGCAAATGATTATGTAAATTTTCCTGAACAAATTCCAACTTAACATTTATTAAAATTTCATGGAGAAAAATTCTCAGAATCAATTTCTACATTTAAAATTCTGATTGTATGCTTTTATGCTTTCACGATTCAATTTGTTTCCGAGAACTTTCTACTTATTCACATTCAGAAAATGAGCAAATATTTTCACACACAAGAAAAAGACGAAGAATTTTTTGACATTTCCTGTAAACTTTTACAACATATTCCGAATGCTTGTGTAGACTGAAAAGTCATGTTCACAGATAAAACTCACACCTTAAAAAATGTTTTAGTAGCAAGAGATTAATGTATTCAGGAAATTAATGTTATCAGAATTAAACATGAATTTTATTTTATTTCTCATAATTTTCCATATTCTAGATCTTGTGCTATAATAACTTTCTTCCATATTCATGATTTTAAAGTTTTATTTTAAAAAGGAAACAACAAAATTGAAAGAATTTTTAAATAGAATAAGTTGAAAGTTTCAACACCTTAAACGACACTTCAAACTTTTTCTTTTCTTCATTGTTTGCTGCTTTTGGATGTTGTGGGGTTTTGTGGGTAGTTCTTACAATTTCGTAAAAGTTTTTTCTTCTTGTTAATTTTTTTTTTTGGGTTTTTTAAATAATTAAAAATTTTTTGGGGCTTTAAACTTTTTTGAAAAGTGACCAAACTTTTACTTGAAATCAATTTAAATCCAGTGGTTGACACGATATCATCTCATACTTTTCAGAAAGTTACAATCCCTCGCCAATATCCAATTTAACTATCCATAAAACATACAATTACTTAAAAATCTCTCAGAAATGCTCCATGTCATTCCACGTCTCAAATAAGAAAATTTCAATTTATTTTTTAACACATTTACAAATCCAGTCCATAGCTTCTTGCAAGCCAGTTCCTTCTAATGCTGAGCACGCCTGTATCTGCCAATCACGATCCTTCAATTTAACTAAACCTATCAGTTCAGCAACTTCAGCTGCCTTCATAGAACTCGAGAGATCTTGCTTATTGGCAAGCACAATTATCGGTACAGACTTCAACTTTTCATCCTTCAGTAGTTCATTAAATTCTCCAGTGCTCTCGCTCATTCTCTTTCTGTCACTGCTATCGACCTTAAAAATTGTTATTCGAGATGAAGCATAAAAAAAGAAATTTTTTTTGTAACGTTAACATCATGCAATATTGGAATCATCATCAGTAAAATGTACCACAAATATGAGAACATCTGTGTTCTCGAAATAGTTACGCCAGTAGGGTCGAATTTTAGCATTTCCACCTACGGTGTGTAAGGAAAATAGAAAATGTATATATTTAAATATGTATGTGCACTAGAGAGGATGCTCGTTCAGTTTAGCAGATGAGATACATTTTTTAAAAATTCCAAGGGGGTAACAACATGATAGGAAAATATTTTGATTTAATATTTTCATAATTATTCCATCATTTTCAATTATAAAATTATTTTGATGCAAAATTTGAAAGAATTTTGAATCAAAACTCCTTTCCATCATAATGTTGTCCCCCTGAAATTTTTTTTAAAAATTTAATAATTCTTAAACTATCAAAAATTATATAACAAAAATCGTATAAAGATAGCATGAAGATAAAATGAAATTAAGTCAACTGTATATTAATGTATATAAGATGAGATGAAGTGATACATACAAAATATCTTCACATCCCCCAATTTCACTTTAACTCTCGCCTTTTTACCATACTCACCCAAATCCCACACATTTAAATTTAAATTATTAGATGATATCGATTTGATATTAAATCCAGCTGTAGGTGTTGTTATGTGAGGTGTCTCTTCATTTGCCAATTGTCTTAAAATTGTTGTCTTGCCACTATTATCTAGTCCAACAAGGACGATTCTTAATTCTTTATCTGATGATGACCGAAGTTTTCTTAAAAGTGACAGTAAACCCTGAGAATTAAAGGCAGAGTATTAAATAAGTTAAAACGTCTCATGATGATGATAATGGAAGTTCAGTACAACCAGGGAAATTTTGAGACTGCGGACGGAAAAAGGTAGACCATTATTAAAGGATAGACTAACCAAATTGAATTTTAATTGACGAGTGACTCTTTTCTGTAATTATAATCGCTTTACTCACACTTTTCTTATTTTTTTGCTAATTATAATTAAAAATGTTGCTGCTTCTTTTAACCCGATGGGTGAGTTTAGTAGGAAATTTATTTAACCCTGAGATGTCACAATTAATATATTCATTCATGGGTTTGAACTTTTTTCATTATTTGGGTTAGTAGCTTAATTTCAACAGATGGTAAGTTTATTAAATTTTTTAATTGAATTTTTTAAATGTCTGATTTTGTAGCTTTGGTGACAAAAAATATGAATATTTATTTAATTGCTAAACTTTAAGACAGTGTTGATACAAAGTTGCCTTTGCCCAGATTTTGCCTTTGATTTAGCAAAGTCGTGCCTTTGCAAAGCCACAAAAAAGGGCTTTGACAAAGGCAAAGGCTTGTGCCTCTAATTTCAAATTGCCTACGCTTAGGTCCACCTTTTTAAGTCAAGTGCGAGGTACAACACTGCTATAATAATTAAAAATTGAATATTTTCAATAAGTTCATACACAACTGCGGCTTTATAAAAACTATCAAATAAATAATTTATTGAAAACAGACTGTTGATAGTAATAGATTTGCACATTAGTAATTGAAAATCATTAGCATGTTAAAGATCTAGGTTTTGACGCCTTTGAAGAATAGCCATAGATTTGACTGCACCTGTATGATCAGTGAATTAAAATACTAAGTCCCTTTGCCTACCTCATACTTCAATGCACAAACCTAACCATTCTGACCAAAACTTCAAATTAGAACTCACAATTAATTTACCAAAAATTAAAGAACGAAAAATAAACAATAACTCATAAGAAGCAACTGACCCAATGTCCTTCACCAGCTTGCTTCTTTCAAAAAAGGTTTATTGACCTATTTAGTTGTAATTATGAATGAATAAACGGCAGATAATAATCTTTGCTTTTTCCTTGCATGCCTATTTCTTCACAAAGAGCAAACAATGAAGAAGGAAAGAACAAAAAAAGTCGAAAGGTAAATATTGTAAATTTGAAGAAAACGCGATGATTCACGTCATAATCGGAAGAAAGTTGAGTGTATTTTGGGATATTAAGAATATCTACTGAATATTCAAAGAAATGAAAATTTAGGTCATGGAAAATTTTTGAATAATGACAAAACAATTGAAGAAATTTGTGTTTGATAATTAATTAATACTCGGTTGTGTATTTAGGAACATCCATTAAAATTATGTTGAATTCTTCGTTTTGAAATCTTCTTAAGTATGCCAAATCAAAGCTCTTTAGAATTTACCTAACAATAGATTTAAAATGTAATTATAATCTGAATCAAATCTGATGAATTTTCTCGACAAACCCATAATGCCCCAAAGTAAATTTAATTTTTAATGTTTACAACAAACTTACTAAAGTAAACATTTCTTCACTTACATCCAGAACACTTTGTTTTAAAACAATTTTGTAATTACCCTGGAGATAATTTTATCACTCAATTTACGATGATTTTAATTAGAATGCAAGCAATCTTGTATAATTTTTATATCAAGTTCCTTTATACAAAGAATGCGATGTCATTTAATTAATTAAATAATAGCTTTGCTGCATTAAGCTGTAATGGAAACTAGTTTGAAGGACATATTGACTGAAACTGTTTAAGAATTAACTATCAATCTAGAAAGACAAGATCAAAGACATCGTTAAATATAAGTTGTTTTGATAAGCAACTTAATGACTTAAAATATTAGCATAGAGTTACTGATTTCCGAATGGAACAAGTCGGTTAATCGAACAGAAACCCGGTACCGGGATTTAAATCGAAGCTAGTATAATGATAGAGTCATGCCAGCATTGCTACGAATTTCTATTCGACTAACCGACTTGTGCTATTCAGGATTATAAATTGAACCACTCCACTTGGTACCAAGTTCATGACTTGGGATAGGTAAGTTCCTATTTTGTTAAATTTTAAGTTTCAACGTTTAATGGATGAATCTTTGCTGGAAGGATTATCATTAGAATACTTTATTTGATGGTTCAAACGATATAAACCTTAGATTCGGTCATTTCCCGGGTGGACTCAGCCAGTTAAAGTCCATTATTGGACAATCATTTAACAGTCTTTTAACTTGCCGAAATTTATACGACATAGAGAACTAGACTTTAACTGGACATTCATGCTAATCAATCAAGTGCTCGAAGCTCAAAAATAATTTTCTTTACTTTTTTGACCATATACTTCACAAGCGGTTGCAGAAATCACTTATATAAGGTCTCACTAAATTGGTATGAAACCTTTAAGTAAATATAATTGTTTCACGCGCTAGTGTTTGAGACTTAATGCTTACTAGAGATTTTTCATAAGTGTTGGTGTGCTTTAATTAATTAATTACACTAATACAATAATAAAATTTTACAAAAGAAAAAAAGGAAAAAAGACACGTGTTATTTATTTTATTTCGATTTTTTTGTAACTGGACATTAACTAGACATATTTGCAATTCCTATGTCCAGTTAAATGGAAAGCGCAAAATATGTCATTAGTCGTCCCTAAGTCTAGTTGCAAAGGTACGTCAATGGATAGTTACTCGCCATGAACAGGCAAGTCAATGGCAAGCTTTTAACTAGTACTCTGTCCACTCGGGTTTATTATCTTTTTATACATTCTTCTTTCATCTCCATACCAATAAAGAATACATTTTAATGTCTAATGTTCAAATCTTAACAAAATCCTTAAATGATGATTTAATCCAATTTTATCATTGTCCAACTTTAACCTTTCGTTTCACATTCTCAATTTTAATTCCCTTAAGCTTCTCTTACTTGGAATCAAATCCTTATCACATCTACCGTTTAATATTGACCAAAGTTCTTGACATCATTACTTCCAATCGAGTGAATAATCTTCATCATCTATCATTATCAGAAGATCTACAACCTCAAATAATTGCAAAAAAAAAAGAAACTTTCAACTTGATGTTAAAGTCAAATTACAAAAGGACGAGCAAATAGAATTAAATTAATTGCAAATTTTAGAGTCAGTAACGGACATTTAAAAAAGTCTTTAGCACTCAATTCAATTGGTATTCTCATTTCAAAGAATAAATTACATGAATCAAGTGTTTCTCTTTAATTTGAGGATGGCAAAAAAAGAAATCTAATTTATCTGAGCATATTTATCTCTTAATTGAATTGATACATCTGAAGGTGAAGCATAGACATAACAAAAAGAAGAGTATTGTACCTTTTATAACAACAGTTAAGGCGTCTAGACGTGAGCTTTTCTCCTTTCTTAGTTCAAATTTCAAGTCATTAAGTAATAAGAAACGAAATAAAGGAATTTCTTGGAGCTTTTTTTCCTTTCATTCATTTCCTTTTACTTTCTTTTTTGTTCGATAAGAATAATGACACTTTGGGGGCAATGTTGTCATAAACAAGAAATCGATATCTTCCAAGGATTTCATTAATGCGTTATTGAATGGCTTTTAATTATTATCATGAAAAAATGTTAAAAAAACTTTTTAAAAAACACGCTTTTTTCCCAAAGACTTCAAAAACAAATAACATTTTTCTTGAAGTTAAATCTGTTGTTAAGACTAAAAACCAAGCGACCAAAAAAGTAGCAAATAAAAAAATGTTAAAAAAACTTTTTTAAAAACACGCTTTTATAAAAAAGACTAAAAACCAAAAAGTTGAAAATAAAATAAGATCACACTTTTAGCGAATCAGGATTTTAAAATTTTTTTGTGACAGCTAGAAATGTAACATAAATTTTTTCAAAATATTGTGATTAAGTCCAAGAACACAATGACTCTAAAAGCGTGGGGCGTAATTTAAGGATAATTTCTTAGTTAAGCTAAGTTCTAAAGTAAGAGAACGTCAAATCTCAAAGCCCCACGCTTTTCGAGTCATTGTATTCTTGGATTTAATCACAATATTTTGAAAAAATTTATGTTACATTTCTAGTTGTCACAAAAAAATTTTAAAATCCTGATTCGCTAAAAGTGTGATCTTATTTTATTTTCAACTTTTTGGTTTTTAGTCTTTTTTATAAAAGCGTGTTTTTAAAAAAGTTTTTTTAACATTTTTTTATTTGCTACTTTTTTGGTCGCTTGGTTTTTAGTCTTAACAACAGATTTAACTTCAAGAAAAATGTTATTTGTTTTTGAAGTCTTTGGGAAAAAAGCGTGTTTTTTAAAAAGTTTTTTTAACATTTTTTTTATTTGCTACTTTTTAGTCTCAATCTTTTAATCGAATATCGACCACAACAATTCAAATTCAACTCGTTTTACTCCGTTTCGTTCAACTGTTTATAGATTACATTTGTTCATTCATTTGTTTTAAAGAATTTAAGTCATACCTGGAAACAGATGAAACTTCTTAAAAAATATCCTGAACTTCAATTATGTGCGCTTTCTGTGTTTTTTAAAGCATTCATTGGTAAAGTACATTAAAAATGAATCTTGGAGATTTTGTGTTTATCTGGACCATTCCTACTACATAACGTGTGGATTCTTAACATAAAGCAACATAAAGATGCAACTCACATCTATATGTAACGTATTTATAGCGGATTTTTCAAATTTAATTCAATGAATGTCATTTGTATGTTATGCAAATATACTTCAAGCCGTTAATAAATAGAAAAGTAAATTTAATTAAGTTGGTGAAGTTTTATAAATAATGTAATACATTAAAAACAGCATAAATTTATGCTCAAACTATGTGTGCTAAATGCACATCGCATATTAATAGTTATTTTGCATTAATTCGTAACGGACTTGTGCTTAACGGTTTTTTTGAAAATTCAAATTTTCACTTACGAATATTTATGAAAAAATTACATGTCAATTTTTTTGTCTTA